CGGAGTGGGACTGGCTCTGGGTGCCTGGCTTCCTGGATCCCATGTTCAGAGAGTTCCATCACCAAGGAAGTGAGGTGAGGTCACATCCTTCAGGAACTGAATGAGGTCACTGCTTGGCAACCACTTTGTCCTAACAGTTGCTTCAAGGGTCCCATGAAATGAAGGCTGTCCCTACTTCCTGTGACACTTTCACAAGTTAGAATGGTATATCAACCATAGGCACCTGGGAACAGCTCTCCACACAGGCATGGTTTGATCAATCTTATCTACATTAAGAAAGGAGAGGCTTATTCAGACACATCCCTTCATACTGACCAGGTTGTTTGCCATGGAAGATGACTTTTGCTCTCTTAGGTCCTTCATAGCTGCCTGCAACTTCTCCAGGGTATCATTTATGCATGGACCTTTGATGTTCTCAGCAGGTGGAAGATCCGCTATATTACTGTATTGTAAGACAAACTCTGTCCCGGCTCTTCTGTAAAGTTAGTTTGATGGAACAGTGTATGGTTAGGGTAATAACAGGTTCGATTTGGGTTAGGAATCATACTGAGGAATGAACAATGGTATTGGGAACTTGCTATATTTACAAGAATATATTGGTGAAATATAAGTATGAAAACAGAAATCTGAATAATATTTGAATCCAAGAAGGGCATTGGGCTGTTGATTGGGATACTTAGCTTTGAATTATGCTCTGCACAGATGTCTCAGATAAATCGATATACAATGGCATAGGACCTTGTACCTTGGATGATTGATTGTTGAAGAGATCATCCATTCAAAAAGGGATAGTAGGTAGGATTAGGAAGATATTTTGTAGGTTTAGAAAAAAGAGTGAGTATAGGATTTGGACCAAAAGTTCTTTAGCAATAGGCTTTCAGATAGAGAGTGAATGTAAATGTCAGCACATGTGAAGAGTCAGTCACAATTATGAACTCGGGAAAATATGTAGGAAAGCAGATATCAATAGAGACATTACGAAATCAGGCAAAGTATAAAGTGAGTGATAGGATTAGTCATTTTCAACAGGGTTGAGGTTGAATATATAATCTTAGGAAGAAACAAATATGTAGTCACCAATAGGATTGATTTGAGAGCATTAGGCAACCTGGACATGGATGTTTTTAGTAATCGATGCTCACTTTCCATTTAGGCTTTGGTGAAAGGTTAATAAAATAGGTACTTGTCACTTCCTGTTTTTCTGTATGCTTAACAAAACACTCTTGAAATCTTGAGGACTGTTTGCTAATCTTGTTCCCTAGATGTGCTGTACCCAACTGCAAAACTGCAGAATGTACTCCCTCACCCGTTTGCAGGCAAACTGCCCACTCACCCTGACCCATCAATAAACTTCCCTCCCTGCCCTCTCCAAGGAAAGTATATAAGCTCTGCTTAAGCTGTTCTCATTGCTCTCTGCTCTATTCAAGTGAGCTCTGAGCCCCAGAATGCTGGACTCCCAATAAACCCGTTACTGTTGCATGAGACATTCTCTTGGTGGTCTCTTCCTCTGATGCTCGCCCGAGCTTTACATCTTGAGTACCCAGTGAGATCCGGCAGCAGAGGACGAAAGATCCCCAATGGGCTCCTTTCAGGGTAAGTAAGGCGCCTCTTTCTGGTTTCAGGTTTCAGGTTAGGGCTTGGCAAAATGGCTATCGGTGATGAGTCTTAGCTCTCTCTGATGGTGGCTGACAGACGTATCACAGAGTCACAGGCCACGTCCCTGGGGGACGCCCCAAAGGACTCAGGAAATCGAGGAACAATAGTCTCCTTGACTCAGTGATATTTTGTTTAGGATTCGGTATTGCCAGCCTATCAGATTTTGCTGGCTACTCAATCCTGGTCTCAGTATTGGACGTCCATTGCCTGTCTTTATTGTCTTGTCTTGTCTGTGTAGTGTGTCGTTGCTTTCACTGTTTGTGTATCTCTCATTATGGGACAGAGGACTTCAATGCCTCTGTCCCTGACCCTTGATCAGTGGACCAAAGTCCACTTAAGGACCCAGAATCTTTCTTTTTCAGTAAAACGCCGGACCTGGCAGACTCTCTGTGCCTCAAAATGACCCAACATTGGAGTCGGATGGCCCCCAGAAGGATGTTTCTACTTCCCACTAATTTGAAAAGTCAGAGATATTGTCTTTCAGCTGGGGCCACATAGCCATCCTGATCAATAGCCATATATCTTAAATTGGCAGGACCTCTGCAAATCTCATCCTCCATGGGTGAAGCCGTTCCTTGTCCCTGTCCCCGCTACTACTGCTTCCCCCATGATTCTATCTCTCAAACCCTCTGCTCCTCCTCCTCCACCCTCTGTTCTCCCTGAGTCTCAAGACTCTACTGGACTCTCCTCCCCCTTCTTATCCCCTGCCCTCATCCCCCAACCCCCAACAACCTCTAAGTGATTCCGCTGCTGCTGACTCAGCCTCTCCGCCATTGGAGGAAGCTAGGCCAGCCCAGCACCCTCCAGATGACTACCCCGTGGCACACACAGCCCCTCCTTTCTGGTGGAAGCTGGCCTGGCTAAAAGAACTCAAAGAACTCCGTGGCGTTTTCACACCTGCCTACTTGGGATGACTGCCAATTAATCCTAGGGACTCTCTTCATGACAGAGGAACGAGACAGAAACCTCCTGGAAGCTAGAAAAAAATATCCTCGGACCAGATGAGAGACTGACACAACTTCCCAACATAATCCAAGCTGGCTTCCCCTTCTTGAACTGACCCAACTGGGACCCCAACACCTTTGAAGGTAGGGAGCATCTGTCCACTTATTGCCAGGCCCTAATAGTGGGTTTCCAAGTGGCCACTAGGCAACCAACCAATTTGGCCAAGGTAAGAGAGATTATTCAAGGGCCTGATGAATATCCCTCTATGTTTCTAGAGAGAATTATGGAGGCATATAGGAGATATACTCCTTTCGATCCTCAGGCAGAGGATCAAAAGGCATCTGTCATGATGGCCTTCATTGGGCAAGCTGCCCTGGATATTAAAAGAAAGTTACAATGCTTAGATGGATTACAAGATATGACTTTGAGAGATTTAGTCAGAGAAGCTGAGAAAGTATACTATAAGAGAGAAACAGAGAGAAAGATAGGGAGCAAAGGGGGATGAGATATGCAAAAGACAGACTAAGGCATTGACTAAGGTCCTGGTCACAACAATAAATAGGCCATAAATTAAGAAACAGGGAGAAAGGAAGGGATACCTGAGGCCACCCCTGGCCTCAGATCACTGTGTCTACTGTAAAGAAAAAGGACATTGGGCCAAAGAGTGCCCTAGAAATAGACAGCGACGCCAGCCAGCCATTCTGACTCTGGAGGATGACTAAGAAAGTCGGGGCTCAGATCCCCTCCCCGGGTTCAGGGTAACTTTTGAAGTGCAGGGGACCCCAATAAACTTTGAAGTGGATACAGGGACAATATACTCAGCCCTTAAGGCCCCATTGGGCCCTCTATCAAATAAAAGGTCTCTAGTTCAAAGGGCTAACGGCAGTAAATATCAGACTTAGACAACTAAGAGGACCATGGACATGGGGAAAAGAAAAATCCATCACTCCTTCCTAGTAATCCCAGAATGCCTGGCCCCATTGATGGGAAGAGATCTGCTCACCAAGCTCTGGGCCAAAACATCTTTTAACCCTGAAGGCCCCAAAATGAAACTTCTAAATCCTTCAGTAAAAACTCCTATAGTCATGGCTTTAAATATGTCAGTAGAAGATGAACAGCAACTCTTCACACCCCCCAAGACTGATCAAACAGGCAAGCTACCCCAGAAATGAATTACAGATTACCCAGATGCCTGGGCAAAAACTGCTAGGTTAGGCCTAGCAGTGAAACCATCTCCAATAACAGTGGAGTTAAAAACTTCAGCCTCCCCAATCAATGTCAAACAATATCCTCTGAGCAAAAAAGCTAAAGATGGGATAAGGCCCCATATTCAGAAATATCCGGCCTTAGAGGTCCTAAGGCCCTGTTAATTGGCCTGGAACAATCCCGTGCTAACAGTAAAAATCGCCAGGAACCGGGGATAATCGCCCCATTACAGACCTAAGAGAGATCAACAACAGAGTGCAGGACATTCACCCCACGGTACCTAATCGATACAATCTGCTTATCACTCTGAACCCTGAGCGGAAATGGTATACTGTTCTGGACTTAAAAGATGCTTTCTTTTGCTTGCCTCTGCATAAAGATAGTCAGTTGCTGTTTGCTTGTGAGTGGGTAGACCCAGAAACCGGAACGTCTAGTCAACTAACTTGGACTAGACTCCCACAGGGGTTCAAAAACTCCCCCACTCTCTTTGATGAAGCCCTCCACAGAGATCTCAACAACTTCAGAACTACACACCCCAAAGTCACCCAGCTTCAATACGTGGATGACCTGCTACTGGCAGCCAACACCAAGGAAAACTGTGAGTCTGATACCCAAGCATTATTATATGAGCTTGCTCAACTCAGGTATATAGCTTCTGCCAAAAAGGCCCAAATTTGCCAGCAAGAAGTAATCTTCCTGGGCTATTCCCTTAGGGGCGGTAAATGATGGCTCACTGAGCCCAGAAAACAAACGGTTGTGCAGGTACCACCCCCATCTAACAGCAGACAACACAGAGTGTTTCTTGGGACTGCTGGGTTTTGCAGGTTATGGATTCCTGTGTCTGCGTCCTTAACTTCTCCTTTATACCCGCTGTTAAAGGGAGATGCCCAATTCCAATGGACCCCTGAGAACCAGCAAGCTTTTGATAACATCTAAAGACACTGATACTGAACTCCTCAACTTCACTGAGCCAAGCCTGCAATTTCAGAAAGCCCTACACTACGTTAAAAATGTACATCAATTCACTCATCTTGGTTCAAAGAAACTGCAGGCATTCCTGAAGGATCAAGAACAGAGTTTTTGACTAACCGACTCAAAGCAAAAGGAAATATCTGAATGGGTAACAAAATCCTGTCGGGTCTGTCAATAGGTTAATTCTTACCCTTCCAATCTTCCTGCAGGAAAGCACCTATGAGGAACCAGACCAGGACAATTCTGGGAAGTGGACTTTACTGAATTTAAGCCAGCAAGGTATGGACTATTTCCTAGTCTTTGCAGATGCATTTTCAGGATGGATTGAAGCCTTCCCCACAAAAAAAGGCACAAATGGTGTTCAAGAAGATCCTGAAAGATATTTTTCCAAGATACGGCCTGCCTAAGGTAATAGGGTCTGATAATGGACCGGCGTTCATGGCCCAGGTAAGTCAGGGGTTAGCCAGGACCCTGGGGATTAATTGGAAGTTACATTGTGCTTAAAGACCCCAGAGCTCAGGACAGGTAAAAAAAACTAAAAGGAACAATTAAAGAGACCTTAACAAAATTAAGCTTAGAGAGCGGCATAAAAGATAGGACTATGCTCCTGCCTTATGCACTGTTTCATGCAAGAAATACTCCCTCTGTTTCTTTGTGTAACCTCACCCCCTATGAAATTCTCTATGGGGCCCCTCCTCCAGTAAGGGACCTAACCCCAACTGTAAGACCTAACGATCCCTTCCAAACCCCCTTGCTTGACAGACTTAAAGCTCTTGAAAGAACTCAGTGATACCTGTGGAAACAGCTGGCCACTGCCTACCAACCTGGTGAAGAGGGGACTCAACATCGATATCAAGTAAGAGACTTCATCTACATAAGATGACATCAGGTGTCATTCCTGGAACCCCGCTGGACAGGACCATACCAGGTGCTACTTATAACACCTACAGTGGTAAAGGTAGACGGAATCACTTCCTGGATCCTAATTCTCATCTCAACCTGCGGCCTATCCAGACTCTGGCTGGAAACCTGAAAAGACTGGTAACCCTTTCAAATTGCATATTCACCATGTGGATAAGGCTATAGACTCTCCCCTTGGCCACCAGTAGTCCTAACCCTCATCAGCCCATTCAGCAGTGATGGCTGATCACAAATCCTACTAGACAAGAAGTATCATCTATCTTGCATACAGCCCCCTTAGGGACCTGGTGGCCATCTCTCCACCCAGACATTTGTCAGCTGGCAATAGGTCTTTCCTATTGGGATATCCCTGATGAAGAGGATCCCAATAAAATTCCATTAAATCCCTTCCATACCATAGATAATGGAAACAAACATTATGGATGTAGGGACATGCGAGCCAGATGCAGGTTGGCTAGCCTAGATTACTATGTTTGCCCGGCGGACTATCAAAGCCACAAAGAGCCACGGCTTTGTGGGGGAAAAGAAGACTTCTTCTGTAAATAATGGGGATGTGAGCACACAGGGGCTGCCTGGTGAAACCCAAACTCCTCATCAAATTCAGTACACAGCATTGGCCATATTACCAATTAGACAACAAAACCGATGGCCCCCAGAGTTGTCTCTAGATCCTCAAATTCTGCGTGACCTTTTCAACTTCTGCAAGTGCTCAAAAGGGTGGAAGGAAATTCCCCTATGTGTAGGCCTTTTCCCTCCTTTGCTCACATCCTGAACTATGCTTCTCCAATAGATCCTCACCCTCAGCCTTCTGCTCCAGACTCTCTGCTGTCACTCCCACATCAGCAACCTGATTTCTCCCCTCCAATTACTAGATCAAAAACCCAAACCTCTGCCGGTTCTCAGACCATTGCCCCTTGCTGAGGTAGCAGGTACAGAGGTACCCCTCAACCCAGTCACTCCTCTCTTCTCCTGTCAGTGCCCACACCGGGTCCCACCAGGTCCTCTTACCAGCTAACCCAAAGCTCAAACCAGCTGAGGAGTGCCCTCAGATGCCTATCCAAGATGTAATGAAAATGGCCTTTAAAGTTGCTTTGTCATCACTGAAAACAGGCTACTAAGAATTTAAAGTCCCTCACAGGCTTTTTGGGATACTCACTCCCGTGTTCCCTACTGCTCTACCTGTCCTACTGCTTAAGTTTTTGTTGCCAGGAAAATCCCAAACCTGTTTCCCATTATTATTTTATATCTCTGTTTCTTCATTCTCAGATCCACGGACTGCTCTCACCCCCCGCCTTCCCCATCTTCCCCTCTGTACCAGGCCCACAGAAAAATCTTAAATGACCTTCTCCAGAAGTCTTCCCCATGGCTGACTTTAGGACTTTCAGCAACAGAGTCCCTATAAAAGAGTTCAATGGAGATAAACTTCCTCTTTTCGTGTTGCTCTGTTCTACTTGGCCACAGGCTGGAAAAATCAGCACTCCTTACTAGTTTTTCACAAAATATGTGAACAAGGCCTCTGGCCTTGAGCTGGGGCTTCACAGAGATGGCTACATTTCTAAGATAAAGAAGTTACCAACTGGGCTCCATGGTAACAGCTGGCAGGGAGAAAAAAAAGAGAAGAAAAAAGCTCTCCCCCTCCCAGGTGTCCTTAAAAAGTTAACTTGCCCAGAGCAGAGGAAAAAAAAAAACAGAAACAAAAACTGCTTTTTGTGAACTTCTGCAAACTGTGAATTTCTGAGTCCCTTCCCTTACATGTTGGGTAAAAAATTCTGAAACTACCTAAACTTGGGGTTCAGGGGATTAATTGATTACAACAGAAGAAATGCCCTCTAAATCCAGTTGCAACCAAATAGGACTGTTTCCCTGTCTTCGGTGCTATCTTAGGTGCCTTGCCTTGTCCGTCCCTACAACAGTATAATTCTACATACTTAAACATTGTTTATGTTTTCATAAAATGGTCAACAGATGTGATTAATTATGTAATGGTGCAGATGTTTCCCAGAGTGCTCTATCATGAAGCAGGTACATTTAAAGATCAAATAGAGGGGCATACAACCCGGTTCTGCCGGGAACCTGTATCCCCCACTTTAGCCATCCTATTAGGAATAGGAGTTGCTGCACGGGTGGGCATAGGAACCACTGCCCTTGTCCATGGGACACAACAAATGACCCAATTAGAAGCAGCAATAGACCAAAACTTAAAGATATTAAAAACCTCCATCACAGCTTTACAGGAATCTTTAACCTCTCTCTCTGAAGTTGTTTTGCAGAACAGGTGAGGGTTTGACCTCCTCTTCATGAGAGAAGGGGCCTTTGTCCTGCATTGAGGGAAGAATGTTGTTTTTATGCCGACCATACTGGAGTTGTAAAAGAATCTATGATTAAATTAAGAAGATGCCTTGAAGAGCATCAATAAGACAGAGAGGCAGCAAAAGGGTGGTTTTAGTCTTGGTTCACACAGTCCCACTGGTTAACTATGCTTTTATCAGCCCTGGCTGGTCCATTAATAATCCTCATGTTATTGCTAACTGTAGGACCCTGTTTGCTCAACCGTGTAGTTTCCTTTCTCCAAGCTCAAATTGGACAAGTTAAACTTATGGTAATCAGAAAACAATATACCACACTAGCAGACATAAAATGTGACACCCCCAATGATCACTTTTATGATTAAACGTAACCAAAAGAAGAAGTGGGGAATGAAAGTTAATAAAATAGGTACTTGTCACTTCCAGTTTTTCGGTATGCTTAACAAAACACTGATGATATCTTGAGAACTGTTTGCTAATCTTGTTCCCTAGATGTGCTGTACCCAACTGCAAAACTGCAGAATGTACTCCCTCACCAGTTTGCACGCAAACTGCCCACTCGCCCTGACCCATCAATAATCTTCCCTCCCTGCCCTCTCCAAGGAAAGTACATAAGCTCTGCTTAAGCTGTTCTCAGGGTTCTCTGCTCTATTCAAGGGAGCTCTGAGCCCCAGCATGCTGGACCCCCATAAACTCTTGGCTGTTGCATGAGACAGTCTCTGGTGGTCTCTTCCTCCGATGCTCGCCTGACCTTTACATTGGTAAAATAATAAGTATGACATTTGCTTTTTGTGTCCTGAATATTACTGTGATAAAATGTATATGTAGATAAGGTGACTTGAGTATTTCTTCCACCATTTCTGGGAGCAATATTTTGAAGATGTATAAATTAGTATTGGGGGTACAAATAGGTGTACCATGTGTCTATGAATATAGAGATAATGCATGAATAGACCATACTGTGAATAAATAATATAATGGGTTCCACCTTTAAATAATGGATTCAATTGGTATCTGAAAATATACAGGAAATATTATATTGATATACATATATTCATTCCAACAAGTTATACATCTAATGGTAATATTAGGATTCTCCAATTTGAGTCCTACTGACTGTGGGGTTTAGATTCCTTTTGTGAATTGGAGGCATGAGAAAACCCAAGCACTATTGGCAAGCCAATGCAGGGCTTTGAAGAACCCATTTGACCCAAAGTATCCCTATTCTTACTTGATGGAGGTCAGTACCCTAACAGAGGAAAGCAAGAGACTTCATCCACAATGACTGCTCTTTTGGCCATTTTGGTTTTGGATGCACACATGGGATCTTTCTTTAGATCCATCAGGTGCTTAGAATCTAAGCCACAGCCTCACACAGGGCCAAGAGGCGGATTCAGACACATCCCTTTCCAAAGCAATTAAGCAAAGAGCCACAGGAGATGCACATTCATTTCCATTTGAAAACTATTTTATTCAGGCTTTATCATGAAGAGTGTGTGAGTTTTGCTAAAAAAGTGATTATGGAAACTGAATATAATGTGTTTGGAATGAAGTCTCATGAAAAGACCAGTCAAGAAACCTGGAGGAATCCATGTGTTCTGAAGCAGGAAGTGATTGAAAGTGAAACAAATGCCTATAAGTTTGCAAACTTGTGGATGAAATATATATCCTATGGTGTGCATAAATTGAAGAAATAGTAATGTACCAGTGTTGAATAAAAATGAACCTCAAAATACACATCATGTCCCATAGGAATCTACTTGCATTGATGTTAAACTGGGTCAGTTACTGTAGAAATATTAGTATTTGTAGGCAACATTAACTGAAGTTTTCAGTACTGGAAACAAATATGTATTTCAGGTGGATGAATATTTCTGAGAATAATCTTGTGAAAAGTTGATTATAAATCCATATACATGAACATGAATGAATTTAGGGAGTGTATATAAGACACATATATTTCATATTTTGAAAAATCTGGAGAGTATATATATATATATATATATATATATATATACACACACACACACATACACACAAAACATACACACACAGACATTAAATTAGCAATGTATATGCCAATCGAAATTTATCATGAAATATATATCATCCACAGATGCAAAAATATTTCTTTTACTGAACATGGATTTATGTATAATGTTGTTCAACTAAGAAGCTCACCCATAGGTTGAATTTTCAAATGCAACATCGTTTAAGAGGAGTGATCACTTCTCACAAATTGTATTTGCCAAATCAGCCACCTAACAAGAATGTACATGTGATACCAGGTAGGATTCTATATGTGCCTTTAAAAATACATGTGCTGAATAGGATACAGTGAAAGGGAGACAGGAATTCACATATTTGATAAACTTAAAAACACATGGAGATCTATTTCAATTAAAAATTAACTAGATTTATAACACCTACCATTAATCATGCAAAAGACAAGTCCAACTATACACCATGATTCCTCTGAACTGCTTGTATTCCTATTCTGTTTGAGTTATTTTTCTCCATCATATTAGGAGTAGTATTCAGAGTGTATTAGGGTATGTGTTAGTGTCAGGGATTCAGTAATTCGAATGGAAAATTGGAAAATGAATCCAATGTGTATGCAAATATGGGCTACACAAAAATGTTCACACTCTCATGCAGAACATTGCCTTGACATTACATTCATTCCAAGTAAGACACAATTAGAGGAGAAAAGTTAGAAAATCTGTGAATACATATCAGGAATGAAAAATGCTCAGGAGTTCACAAACTTGGAGGTGGTAGAGGAGTTTTCAAAAGTAAGGGAAAGGGTAAACACTCCACAAACTTGGAGCTCTGCTGGTGTAAAGACTTCTTGAAAAACTTCCTCTAAGGTTGGGCACTTAAAATATATGTTGTTGTCAGGAGCTTTAGCTTCCTTTGTTGTGAGACCATCAAATATGGGTGTGCAACTATGTGACCTGGAGGACATTGTTACTAATTTTCCAATGAACATTAGGCAGCAGTGCTGAATACTCTCTTTGTAGTTAAACTATGGCCACTGGTGTGTAAGTGTCTCCCCATGTGGACTGTGAAGCCATTTGGTCATCCTCCAATTTTCGTGGTGTTTCTTGCTGGTGCACTGGGAGTTTGGTATTTGCTTCATGAAATACAGGAGTTCAACTGGGACACAGTGCTGGAGGGAGTTCTGTCACATGTGGAGGGTCACAGTCTGCATGAGAATGTACCAACCAGGATTCTATCCCACATAGCTTGCCCCCTTGTCCATAGCAACCTGATTCTGAACATTGCCCTGAAACTACTCTATATAAAATGATGCCTTTACATAGAAGGGTCTGCTGGCTGTACCATGTCAGTCACAAGCCATTTGGAAGCCCATGGCAGATCCACATGGCCCGTCCACACATGTTTTATCACACACCTTCACACCACTGCTCTAGGCCCACTAATGAGCAGACGCCAAATTACTGACATCACAGTTCTACACAATTTTCATGAAACCCAGTAAGTCAAGGCACTGTCTGGTACACTCATGATCAGCAACAGGACATCCAAAAGATCTCCAGTGCCACCTGGTCATGGGAATTTCAAAAATTTCATGGTATTTATCAAGCCATTTGTTGAGGATTATGTTGGAGGCTATGTGGGTTTCAATTCATTCAGGAACCATTAAATGTTGAGGAAGCTCATTTCAATGAAAGCTATAGAGAACACTCACAGGCAAGGCTTCCCAAAGAGTGGCCAAAAGGTCAAATGAAGCCAGGCCCATTGAGGTCCACAATGTGAGGTCCATGTGTGTTTTGACTTCCTAATGTGTTGGCCTGAGGCAAACACCTTCCTGACATTCAGGGCAACAGAACAATATGTAAGCACAACGCCCAAAGCAGGGTTTCTCCACTGAGACATTCCTGGTCACACTGCTATCTGAGTTTTCTGAGATGCTTGCCATTCCCTTCAGCTATCCAGTACATGGCCATGTCACAGACCTTGGAGGTGGTACATATCTTGGACACAAAACCATGAGTCTATTCTGGAGAGTAGACAGAATTCAAGAAGAATACAGGAACTTATGAAGATATTAGGTGTTGCCCATCAATAAGGCATGCCGCAGTCCATTAATAAATTGGGCAGGATGAATGCTGGGAAGCTTTCTACTAGACAGGACACATCCATTGATGCATTCTCTTTTCTGATGTCTACAACCAATAACAGAGTGGGGTACACAGACATAGAAACACTCGCATTGTCAAAGGACTTACTAGAATCAGTTCACTCCAAACCAAACAAACCGCCTTTCCTACCTATTCTCAGAACAAGAGACAAAACCACAAACACCACCCAAACCCACAAATTCAACTCCTTCCCCCAAGTAGGTCTGTGACTATCCGGAGTGTCCTCTGACTGGTGGGCCATACTGTATTCCTCCGAAA